GTGGTGTCTCTGTGTCTCTGTGGTGTCTCTGTGTCTCTGTGGTGTCTCTGTGGTGTCTCTGTGTCTCTGTGTTGTCTCTGTGTCTCTGTGGTGTCTCTGTGGTGTCTCTGTGTCTCTGTGGTGTCTCTGTGTCTCTGTGTGTTGGCTGGGTCGCATGCGCTGCCTGGAGGCCCTGGGGGAGTGGTGAGAGACACCGTCACTACTCTGTGTCTTTGTGGTGTCTCTGTCTCTCTGTGTCTCTGTGTCTCTGTGGTGTCTCTGTGTTGTCTCTGTGGTGTCTCTGTGGTGTCTCTGTGTTGTCTCTGTGGTGTCTCTGTGTCTCTGTGGTGTCTCTGTGTCTCTGTGGTGACTCTGTGGTGTCTCTGTGGTGTCTCTGTGGTGTTTCTGTGGTGTCTCTGTGTGTGTCTCTGTGTCTCTGTGTTGTCTCTGTGTCTCCGTTGTGTCTCTGTGTCTCTGTGTGTTGGCTGGGTCGCATGCGCTGTCTGGAGGCCCTCGGGGAGTGGTGAGAGACACCGTCACTACCCTGTGTCTCTGTGTTGTCTCTGTGTCTCTGTGTTGTCTCTGTGGTGTCTCTGTGTTGTCTCTGTGGTGTCTCTGTGGTGTCTCTGTGTCTCTGTGTGTTGGCTGGGTCGCATGTGCTGCCTGGAGGCCCTGGGCGAGTGGTGAGAGACACCGTCACTACCCTGTGTCTCTGTGGTGTCTCTGTGTTGTCTCTGTGGTGTCTCTGTGTTGTCTCTGTGGTGTCTCTGTGGTCTCTCTGTGTCTCTGTAGTGTCTCTGTGTTGTCTCAGTGTGTCTCTGTGTCTCTGTGGTGTCTCTGTGTCTCTGTGTTGTCTCTGTGTCTCTGTGTTGTCTCTGTGTCTCTGTGTTGTCTCTGTGTCTCTGTGTTGTCTCTGTGTCTCTGTGTTGTCTCTGTGTCTCTGTGTTGTCTCTGTGTCTCTGTGTTGTCTCTGTGGTGTCTCTGTGGTGTCTCTGTGTTGTCTCTGTGGTGTCTCTGTGGTGTCTCTGCGGTGTCTCTGTGTGTTGGCTGGGTCGCATGCGCTGCCTGGAGGCCCTGGGCGAGTGGTGAGAGACACCGTCACTACCCTGTGTCTCTGTGGTGTCTCTGTCTCTCTGTGTCTCTGTGGTGTCTCTGTGTGTGTCTCTGTGGTGTCTCTGTGGTGTCTCTGTGTTGTCTCTGTGTTTTCTCTGTGGTGTCTCTGTGGTGTCTCTGTGTCTCTGTGGTGTCTCTGTGTTGTCTCTGTGTTGTCTCTGTGTCTCTGTGTCTCTGTGGTGTCTCTGTGGTGTCTCTGTGTCTCTGTGGTGTCTCTGTGGTGTCTCTGTGGTGTCTCTGTGGTGTCTCTGTGGTGTCTCTGTGGTGTTTCTGTGGTGTCTCTGTGTGTGTCTCTGTGTCTCTGTGGTGTCTCTGTGGTGTCTCTGTAGTGTCTCTGTGTTGTGTCTGTGTCTCTGTGGTGTCTCTGTGTCTCTGTGTTGTCTCTGTGTCTCTGTGGTGTCTCTGTGGTGTCTCTGTGGTGTCTCTGTGTTGTCTCTGTGTCTCTGTGGTGTCTCTGTGTCTCTGTGTGTTGGCTGGGTCGCATGCGCTGCCTGGAGGCCCTGGGGGAGTGGTGAGAGACACCGTCACTACCCTGTGTCTCTGTGGTGTCTCTGTGGTGTCTCTGTGTTGTCTCTGTGGTGTCTCTGTGGTGTCTCTGTGTGTGTCTCTGTGGTGTCTCTGTGGTGTCTCTGTGGTGTCTCTGTGGTGTCTCTGTGTTGTCTCTGTGTTGTCTCTGTGGTGTCTCTGTGGTGTCTCTGTGGTGTCTCTGTGGTGTCTCTGTGTCTCTGTGGTGTCTCTGTGTTGTCTCTGTGTTGTCTCTGTGTCTCTGTTGTGTCTCTGTGTTGTCTCTGTGTTGTCTCTGTGTTGTCTCTGTGGTGTCTCTGTGGTGTCTCTGTGTCTCTGTGGTGTCTCTGTGGTGTCTCTGTGTTGTCTCTGTGTTGTCTCTGTGGTGTCTCTGTGGTGTCTCTGTGGTGTCTCTGTGGTGTCTCTGTGTCTCTGCGGTGTCTCTGTGGTGTCTCTGTGTTGTCTCTGTGTCTCTGTGGTGTCTCTGTGGTGTCTCTGTAGTGTCTCTGTGTTGTGTCTGTGTCTCTGTGGTGTCTCTGTGTCTCTGTGGTGTCTCTGTGGTGTTTCTGTGGTGTCTCTGTGTGTGTCTCTGTGTCTCTGTGTTGTCTCTGTGGTGTCTCTGTGGTGTCTCTGTGTCTCTGTGTGTTGGCTGGGTCGCATGCGCTGCCTGGAGGCCCTGGGGGAGTGGTGAGAGACACCGTCACTACCCTGTGTCTCTGTGGTGTCTCTGTGTTGTCTCTGTGTTGTCTCTGTGTTGTGTCTGTGGTGTCTCTGTGGTGTCTCTGTGGTGTCTCTGTGTTGTCTCTGTGTTGTCTCTGTGTCTCTGTGGTGTCTCTGTGGTATCTCTGTGTCTCTGTGGTGTCTCTGTGTTGTCTCTGTGGTGTCTCTGTGTTGTCTCTGTGGTGTCTCTGTGTTGTCTCTGTGGTGTCTCTGTGGTGTCTCTGTGGTGTCTCTGTGTTGTCTCTGTGTTGTCTCTGTGTCTCTGTGGTGTCTCTGTGGTATCTCTGTGTCTCTGTGGTGTCTCTGTGTCTCTGCGGTGTCTCTGTGGTGTCTCTGCGGTGTCTCTGTGTCTCTGTAGTGTCTCTGTGTCTGTGTTGTCTCTGTGTTGTCTCTGTGGTGTCTCTGTGTCTCTGTGGTGTCTCTGTGTCTCTGTGGTGTCTCTGTGGTGTCTCTGTGTTGTCTCTGTGTCTCTGTGTTGTCTCTGTGTCTCTGTGTTGTCTCTGTGTCTCTGTGTGTTGGCTGGGTCGCATGCGCTGCCTGGAGGCCCTGGGGGAGTGGTGAGAGACACCGTCACTACCCTGTGTCTCTGTGGTGTCTCTGTGGTGTCTCTGTGGTGTCTCTGTGTTGTGTCTTTGTGGTGTCTCTGTGGTGTCTCTGTGGTGTCTCTGTGTTGTCTCTGTGTCTCTGTGTCTCTGTGTTGTCTCTGCGGTGTCTCTGTCGTGTCTCTGTGTCTCTGTGTTGTCTCTGTGTCTCTGTGGTGTCTCTGTGGTGTCTCTGTGGTGTCTCTGTGTTGTCTCTTTGGTGTCTCTGTGGTGTCTCTGTGGTGTCTCTGTTGTGTCTCTGTGTTGTCTCTGGTGTCTCTGTGGTGTCTCTGTGGTGTCTCTGTGTCTCTGCGGTGTCTCTGTGGTGTCTCTGTGTTGTCTCTGTGTCTCTGTGGTGTCTCTGTGGTGTCTCTGTGTCTCTGTGGTGTCTCTGTGGTGTCTCTGTGTCGTCTGTGTCTCTGTGGTGTCTCTGTGGTGTCTCTGTGGTGTCTCTGTGTCTCTGTGGTGTCTCTGTGTTGTCTCTGTGTCTCTGTGGTGTCTCTGTGGTGTCTCTGTTGTGTCTCTGTTGTGTCTCTGTGTTGTCTCTGTGGTGTCTCTGTGGTGTCTCTGTGTCTCTGTAGTGTCTCTGTGTCTGTGTTGTCTCTGTTGTGTCTCTGTGTTGTCTCTGTGGTGTCTCTGTGTCTCTGTGGTGTCTCTGTGTTGTCTCTGTGGTGTCTCTGTAGTGTCTCTGTAGTGTCTCTGTGGTGTCTCTGTAGTGTCTCTGTAGTGTCTCTGTGGTGTCTCTGTGTCTCTGTGGTGTCTCTGTGGTGTCTCTGTGGTGTCTCTGTGGTGTCTCTGTGTTGTCTCTGTGTCTCTGTGTCTCTGTTGTGTCTCTGTGTCTCTGTTGTGTCTCTGTGTCTCTGTTGTGTCTCTGTGTCTCTGTAGTGTCTCTGTGTTGTCTCTGTGGTGTCTCTGTGTTGTCTCTGTGTCTCTGTAGTGTCTCTGTGGTGTCTCTGTGATGTCTCTTTGGTGTCTCTGTGGTGTCTCTGTGTTGTCTCTGCGGTGTCTCTGCGGTGTCTCTGCGGTGTCTCTGTTGTGTCTCTGTGTCTCTGTGGTGTCTCTGCGGTGTCTCGTTGTCTCTGTGGTGTCTCTGTGGTGTCTCTGGTGTCTCTGTCTCTGTGGTGTCTCTGCGGTGTCTCTGCGGTGTCTCTGTTGTGTCTCTGTGTCTCTGTGGTGTCTCTGTGTCTCTGCGGTGTCTCTGCGGTGTCTCTGCGGTGTCTCTGCGGTGTCTCTGTTGTGTCTCTGCGGTGTCTCTGTTGTGTCTGCGGTGTCTCTGCGGTGTCTCTGTGGTGTCTCTGTGTTGTCTCTGTGTCTCTGCGGTGTCTCTGCGGTGTCTCTGCGGTGTCTTTGCGGTGTCTTTGCGGTGTCTCTGCGGTGTCTCTGTGTCTCTGTGGTGTCTTTGTGGTGTCTCTGTGGTGTCTCTGTGTTGTCTCTGTGGTGTCTCTGTGGTGTCTCTGTGTCTCTGTGGTGTCTCTGTGTTGTCTCTGTGTCTCTGTGTTGTCTCTGCGGTGTCTCTGTGTCTCTGTGATGATGATGTTGTTTGTGCTGCTAATGATGATGAAGTTGCTGCTGCTGATGATGATGATGCTGCTGCTGCTGATGATGTTGCTGCTGATGATGATGTTGATGATGGTGATGATGTTGCTGCTGCTGCTGCTGATGTTGCTGCTGCTGCTGATGTTGCTGCTGCTGCTGTTGATGTTGATGATGATGTTGTTGCTGCTGCTGCTGTTGATGCTGATGTTGTTGCTGCTGCTGCTGCTGTTGATGCTGATGATGATGATGCTGCTGCTGCTGATGATGTTGCTGCTGCTGATGTTGTTGCTGCTGCTGCTGCTGCTGTTGATGCTGATGATGATGATGCTGCTGCTGCTGATGATGTTGCTGCTGCTGATGTTGTTGCTGCTGCTGCTGTTGATGCTGATGATGTTGTTGCTGCTGCTGCTGCTGTTGATGCTGATGATGATGATGCTGCTGCTGCTGATGATGTTGCTGCTGCTGATGTTGTTGCTGCTGCTGCTGTTGATGCTGATGATGATGATGCTGCTGCTGATGATGTTGCTGCTGCTGCTGCTGATGATGATGTTGATGGTGGCGGTGCAGGGGACAGCTGCACCAGATCTGCTGTGACAAGTGGACCCTGGTCAGTGAGGAGACCCAGGCCAAGATGGCACGCATGGCCGCCGCCGCAGCCTGGGGCCTAGGTACAGCACTCACCACTCACTCACTCACCACTCACTCACTCACTCACCACTCACTCACTCACTCACCACTCACTCACTCACCACTCACTCACTCACTCACCACTCACTCACCACTCACTCACCACTCACTCTCTCACTCACCCACCCACACACTCACTCACTCACCCACTCACTCACTCACCACTCACTCACCTCACCACTTACTCACTCACCCACTCACTTACTCACACACTCACACACTCACTCACTCACTTCCTCACTCACTCACCCACTCACTCACCCACTCACTCACACACTCACCCACTCACTCACTCACCACTCACTCACCACTCACTCACTCACTCACCCACTCACTCACTCACTCACCCACTCACTCACTCACTCACTCACCCACTCACTCACTCACTCGCTCGCTCACTCACTCACTCACACACTCACTCACTCACTCACCCACTCACTCACTCACCCACCCACTCACCCACTCACTCACACACTCACTCACTCACTCACCCACTCACTCACTCACCCACCCACCCACTCACCCACTCACTCACACACTCACCCACTGACCCACTCACACACACACTCACTCACTCACCCACTCACTCACTCGCTCACTCACCCACACACTCACTCACTCACCCACTCACTCACTCACGTGTGTGTGCGTAGGTGTGTGCGTGCGTGTGTTGGTATGTGTGCGTGTAGGTGTGTGTGTGTGTGTGTAGGCGTGTAGGTGTGTGTGTGTAGGCGTGTGTGTGTGTATATATGCGTGTGTGTAGGCGTGTGTGTGTGTACATGTGTGTACACGTGTTTGTGTGCTCTGCAGGGCAGTGGGACAGCATGGAGGAGTACACGTGTGTGTGTACGTGTGTGTGTGTACATGTGTGTACGTGTGTGTGCACGTGTGTGTGCACGTGTGTGTGTACGTGTGTGTGTGTGTACGTGTGTGTGTGTACACGTGTGTGTGTGTGTGTGCTCTGCAGGGCAGTGGGACAGCATGGAGGAGTACACATGTGTGTGTACACGTGTGTGTGTGTGTGTACACGTGTGTGTACATGTGTGTGTGTGTGTACATGTGTGTGTACATGTGTGTGTGTACACGTGTGTGTGTGTACATGTGTGTGTGTGTAAATGTGTGTACTCTGCAGGGCAGTGGGACAGTATGGAGGAGTACACGTGTGTGTGTGTGTACACGTGTGTGTGTGTGTACATGTGTGTGTGTGTGTGTACATGTGTGTGTGTGTGTACATGTGTGTGTGTACACGTGTGTGTGTGTACACGTGTGTGTGTACATGTGTGTACTCTGCAGGGCAATGGGACAGTATGGAGGAGTACACGTGTGTGTGTGTGTACACGTGTGTGTACATGTGTGTGTGTGTGTGTACTCTAAACATCGCCACTAGGGAGACAAAGGCGGTCGGGCGTCGTGCTGGCCACCCACCCCCTCGTGTGCCGTTCCGGCCTTCATAGGTGCTCGCTAACAGCACTTGCCCCTACAGTCTGTTAAGGCTATATGGGGGATCTTTGTGTGTACTCTGCAGGGCAATGGGACAGTATGGAGGAGTACACGTGTGTGTGTGTGTGTACACGTGTGTGTGTACATGTGTGTACCCTGCAGGGCAGTGGGACAGTATGGAGGAGTACACGTGTGTGTGTGTGTGTGTACATGTGTACATGTGTGTACATGTGTGTGTGTGTACTCTACAGGGCAGTGGGACAGTATGGAGGAGTACACGTGTGTGTGTGTGTACACGTGTGTGTGTACCCTACAGGGCAATGGGACAGTATGGAGGAGTACACGTGTGTGTGTGTACATGTGTGTGTGTACATGTGTGTGTGTACACGTGTGTGTGTGTACCCTACAGGGCAGTGGGACAGTATGGAGGAGTACACGTGTGTGTGTACACGTGTGTGTGTACTCTACAGGGCAATGGGACAGTATGGAGGAGTACACGTGTGTGTGTGTGTGTACACGTGTGTGTACATGTGTGTGTGTGTACATGTGTGTGTGTGTGTGCTCTACAGGGCAATGGGACAGTATGGAGGAGTACACGTGTGTGTGTGTACATGTGTGTGTGTGTGTACACGTGTGTGTGTGTGTACCCTACAGGGCAATGGGACAGTATGGAGGAGTACACGTGTGTGTGTGTGTGTACACGTGTGTGTGTGTGTACTCTACAGGGCAGTGGGACAGTATGGAGGAGTACACGTGTGTGTGTGTGTGTACACGTGTGTGTGTGTGTGTACTCTACAGGGCAATGGGACAGTATGGAGGAGTACACGTGTGTGTACACGTGTGTGTGTGTGTACACGTGTGTGTGTACACGTGTGTGTGTACCCTACAGGGCAGTGGGACAGTATGGAGGAGTACACGTGCATGATACCCAGAGACACGCACGACGGAGCCTTCTACCGCGCTGTGCTCGCCTTGCACCAAGACCACTACTCACTCGCTCAGCAGGTAACTCACTCTCACTCACTCACACTCACTCACACTCACTTACTCACACTCACTCACTCACACTCACTCACTCACACTCACTCACACTCACTCACACTCACTCGCTCAGCAGGTAACTCACTCACACTCACTCACTCACACACACTCACTCACACACTCACTCGCTCAGCAGGTAACACACTCTCACTCACTCTTACTCACACTCACTCACACTCACTCACACACACTCACTCACTCACACTCACTCACTCGCTCAGCAGGTAACTAACACTCACACACACTCACACTCACTCACTCACACTCACTCACTCATTCACACTCACTCACTCACACTCACTCACTCTCACTCTTACTCACACTCACACACTCACTCACTCACACTCACTCACTCACTCACACTCACTCACTCTCACTCTTACTCACACTCACACACTCACTCACTCACACTCACTCACTCACATACTCACTCACACTCACTCACACTCACTCACACTCACTCACTCACACTCGCTCAGCAGGTAACTCACTCACACTCACTCACACACTCACTCACACTTACTCACACTCACTCACTCACACACACACTCACTCACTCACACTCACTCACTCACACTCACTCACACTCACACACACTCACACACACACACACTCACTCACTCACACTCACTCACTCTCACACTCACTCACACTCACACTCACTCACACTCACTCACACACACACACACTCACTCACACTCACTCACTCACTCACACTCACTCACTCTCACACTCACTCACACTCACACTCACTCACACTCACTCACACTCACACACACTCACACTCACACACACTCACTCACTCACACTCACTCACACTCACTCTCATTCACACACTGACTCGCTCAGCAGGTAACTCACTCACTCGCTCACGTGCACACTCGCTCACTCACACTCACACACTCACACTCACTCACACTCACTCGTTTAGCAGGTAACTCACTCACTCACACTCGCTCACTCACACTCACACACTCACACTCACACACTCACACTCACACACTCACACTCACACACTCACACTCACACACTCACTCACTCACACTCACACTCGCTCACTCTCACTCACTCACTCTCACACTCACTCATACTCACTCGCTCAGCAGGTAACTCACTCACTCACTCTCACACTCACACTCACTCACACTCACTCACATTCACTCACACACACTCGCTCAGCAGGTAACTCACTCACACTCACACCCACTCACACTCGCTCACTCACACTCACTCACCCACTCACACTCACTCATTCACACTCACTCACCCACTCACACTCACTCACACTCGCTCACTCTCACTCGCTCAGCAGGTAACTCACTCACTCACTCTCACTTACTCACTCACACTCATTCACACTCACACATGCACACACAGATACACTCACGTATTCACACCCACCCACACCCACCAACACACTCACCCACCCACTCACCCATCCACCCACCCACTCACCCACCCACCCACTCACCCACCCACCCACCCACTCACCCACCCACTCACTCACCCACTCAACCACCCACTCACCCACCTACTCGCCCACTCACCCAACCACCCACTCACCCACCTACTCGCCCACTCACCCAACCACTCAACCACCCACACACCCACCCACCCACTCATTTTCTCACACACCCACTCACTCGCTTACTCATTAACCCACCCACTCAACCACTCGCCCACCCACTCACCCACCCACCTACTCGCCCACCCACTCACTCTATCACACACACACACACTCACTCGTTTACTCACTCACTCACCCACTCAACCACCCACCCACTCAACCACCCACCCACTCAACCACCCATCCACTCAACCACCCACCCAACCACCCATCCACTCACCCACTCAACCACCCACCCACTCAACCACCCACCCACTCAACCACCCATCCACTCAACCACCCACCCAACCACCCATCCACTCACCCACTCATCCACCCACTCAACCACCCACTCATCCACCCACTCACCCACCCACTCACTCACCCACCAACTCAACCACCCACCCACCTACTTACCCACCTACTCACCCACTCAACCACCCACTCACTCACTCAGAATCTGAGTATTGTAATTAACAAAGAGCTAAAACGCCTCTTTGTTGAACGCGGTACACTCACACACATAGATACACTCACCCACTCAACCACCCACCCACACACCCACTCACCCACCCACTCAACCACCCACCCACTCAACCACCCACCCACTCAACCACCCACCCACTCAACCACCCACCCACACACTCACTCACCCACCCACTCATCCACCCACCCACTCAACCACCCACTCACACACTCACCCACTCAACTACCCAACCACCCACTCAACCACCCACTCAACCACCCACTCACACACTCACTCACTCAACCACCCAACCACCCACTCAACCACCCACACACACACTCACCCACCCACTCACTCTCTCACACACCCACCCACTCAACCACCCACACACACACCCACTCATCCACCCACACACACACTCACTCATCCACCCACACACACACTCACTCACCCACCCACTCACTCTCTCACACACCCACCCACTCGCTTACTCATTCACCCACCCACTCACTCACCCACGCTGCTGTGATTGTGAGAGTGGGTGAGTGAGTGGGTGAGTGAGGTGAGTGAGTGGGTGAGTGAGTGAGTGAGTGGGTGAGTGAGGTGAGTGAGTGAGTGGGTGAGAGTGAGTGTGAGTGATTGTACGAGTGGGTGTGTGAGTGTGTGGGTGGGTGAGTGAGTGAGTGTGTGAGTGATTGTACGGGTGAGTGTGTGAGTGAGTGTGAGTGAGTGAGTGAATGAGTGAGTGAGTCGGTGAGTGAGTGAGAGAGAGTGTGAGTGAGAGTGTGAGTGAGTGAGTGAGAGTGTGAGTGAGTGAGAGTCGTGAGCGATAGTGTAGTAGCGGTTAGCGCTACGCTGCGCTATGAACCTGGCAACCCGGGTTCGATTCCCGCTCACGGCCAACACCAGTGACGATTATCTGAACCGGTCGTGGGCCTCCCCTAGGTCGACTCGGCCTCAAATGAGTACCTGGTGCAGTGTGTAAATATCGCCACTGGGGAGACAAAGGCGGTCGGGCGTGGTACTGGCCACCCACCCCCTCGTGTACCGTTCCGGCCTTCATAGGTGCTGCTCGCTAACAGCACTTGCCCCTACAGTCTGTGAAGGCTATACGGGGGATCTTTGTCTTATATTTGTGTGTATGAGTGTATGTGTGTATGAGTGTATGTGTGTGTATGTGTGTGTATGAGTGTGTGTGTGTATGTGTGTGTATGAGTGCTCGCTAACAGCACTTGCCCCTACAGTCTGTTAAGGCTATACGGGGGATCTTTGTACGAGTTTGTGTGTGTCTGTGTATGAGTGTATGTGTGTGTATGAGTGTGTGTATGTGTGTATGAGTGAGTGTGTGTGTATGAGTGTATGTGTGTGTATGAGTGTGTATGTGTGTATGAGTGTGTGTGTATGTGTGTGTCTGTGTATGAATGTATGAGTGTATGTGTGTGTATGTGTGTGTGTGAGTGAGTGTGTGAGTGTATGTGAGTGTGTGTATGTGTGTGTGGGTGAGTGTGTATGAGTGAGTGAGTGTGTGTGAGTGTGTGTATATGTGTGTATAAGTGTGTGTGTGAGTGAGTGTGTGAGTGAGTGTGTGTATCAGTGAGTGTCTGTGTGTGTGTATGTGTATGAGTGAGTGTGTGTGTACGTGTGTATAAGTGTGTGTGTGTGAGTGTGTGTATGTGTGTGTATGAGTGAGTGTGTGTATGAGTGTGTGTATGTGTGTGTATGTGAGTGTGTGTATGTATATGTGTATGAGTGTGTGTGTGTGTGAGTGTATGTATGTGTGTATGAGTGAGTGTGTGTATGTGTGTATGAGTGAGTGAGTGTGTATGTGTGTGTATGAGTGTGTATGAGTGTATGTGTGTGTATAAGTGTGTGTGTGTGCCGGATGGGCAACTCTGTCGTGGACAGCGCTGTGGGGGGAGATCCAATTTTGATTGGCTCCTCCCCTCATGGCATATGTGTCCACCACAGGGGCTAAACGGGGGCTCTGGACGGGTGCGAGGGGCTGGTAACCCCTCCACCTTCAATTAATTACCAGGAAACCACGAATAAAACTGAAATATGTAACAACTAAGCTTGTGCCGGAGGCCCCGGGGGGCCAGGCGTCTATGACGTCTCCTGGCCAAACCCCAATTGGCGGAGCCAGGAGATTGAATACCTACCCTCGGGGCTACTCCAGAAACAACGAAAAGCCACTACGGGTGGCCACGTGGAATGTTCGAACGCTCACTGCAGAGGAGAGGCTGCCACTCCTCTGTCGGGAGCTGGACCGGTACCGCCTGGATCTATGCGGCATTCAGGAGGTCCGGTGGACCGGCTCTGGCTCCTGCCACCATGAGGGGTGGACAGTCCTCTACTCGGGGCAGCAGACTGCCAAACAACAGGGTGTGGGTCTTCTTTTGAACAAAAGAATGAAGGGGGCGTGGGAGCGTGGCGGTGAGGTGTGGGAAGCTGTAAGCCCCAGGCTACTTTGGGCTCGCCTTCCCATCAACCGGAGGCGAGGAATGGTGGTCGTGGTTACTTATGCCCCCACCGAAGATGAACATCCGTGGAGGGATGCAGGCAAAGCCGATGAGTCAGATGCCTTCTATGACCTCCTGTCACAGGTGCTGGCTAAAGTGGCCCCTCGGGATAGAGTCATCATGTTGGGTGACTTCAATGCCCGAGTTGGTCATGATACTGGCACCTGGTCTGGAGTGATTGGAGGGCATGGGCCAGATCAGCTCAATAACAACGGTAGGAGGCTGCTAGATTTTTGTGCAGCCCATGGGCTTGTAATTACCAACACGCTGTTCCGGCATCGGCGCATCCACACAACATCATGGATGCATGCCGGGTCCAAGCAAGAACATCTGCTGGACTACATAGTGACGGACCAGCGAATGCGAGCCCATGTCCTTGACACCAGGACCTACCGTGGAGCTGATCTGCCCTCTGACCATCGACTAGTCATCTGTAAGATGCGCCTGCCATTCTTCCACTCCGGTGGTGGGTGTACACCCAGGACCCCATTCCAACCTAAAGTGGCCTGGTCTCAGTTATCTGATGAAAGTTGCAAGCGAGAATTTCATCATCGCTTGCGGCTGGGATTGGCATCGTCCCCGACTCCTCCTGATGTCGAGGGTAAATGGGCGAGGTTTAGGACTGTGACTCATGCAGCTGCAATGGCTGCTTTGGGTACGCGGCCCAGACCTCCCCAGACACCCTGGATGACAGAGGAGTTGTTCAGGATGGTTGAGAAAAAGCGACAGGCCCACTGTCATCGGCTACAGAATCCCACGTCAGAGAATGAGGAGGCTTACCGCAGCCTTCGCTCGGAGGTTCGGAGAGCCGTGAGGCGCTGCAAGGATGGGTGGTGGTCGCGGGTTGCTGAGGAGATGGAGTCTGCCTCAGTGGCCCGTGATCACAAATCTCTATTTAACTCCATCAAAAAAGTAACCTGCAGCGCCACACCTATTACCATCATTAGGGGAAAAAACGGTGATCCAATTTCCGACCCCCAGGAACAGGTTCGCAGATTTGCTGAGCATTTCTGTGAGGTCCTGGGGGAGGGAAAATCCCTCAGCCAGGAAAAGATCGTGGCACAAAGTGAGGATGACCCTGCTGAGGATGCGGTGCCTCAATTATTGGATGAAGTCACCCCCTGTGAGTGGCTGGCTGAGGTGCCATCTGCTGAGGAAGTATTGAAGGCGATCCGGAGTCTGAGACCAGGAAAGGCAGCGGGCAGAGATGATCTCCCAAGCGAAATGCTGAGGGAGGGTGGCGTTTGTGCACAGACTGCCCTATATGACATCATAACAACAGTCTGGACCACTGGACGGGTTCCGCAGGATTGGAAGGATGCCCTGGTGGTCCCCCTTTTTAAGAAGGGGGACCGCACAGACTGTAACAACTACAGGGGCATCTCACTCCTCAGTGTGCCGGGAAAGGTCCTGGCAAGGATTATTCAGCATCGCCTTGCCAGGCACGCTGAGGAGAGGCTTGCGGAGCCCCAATGCGGTTTCAGGAAAGGGCGGTCCTGCACAGATGCCATATTTTCTGTCCGTCTGCTACAGCAGAGGTGTAGGGAATTCCAACAAGACCTACACCTCTGCTTTATTGACCTGGTCAAGGCCTATGATACCATCAGTAGGCCTGGGCTCTGGGTCGTTCTTCGTGCTTTTGGAGTACCTGACCCTCTGCTCACGATCATTAAGGACCTTCATGATGGTGAGCGGGCCCGGGTAAAACTACGTGGCCGGGAGTCAGAGCCATTCCCTGTACACCTTGGGGTGCGACAGGGATGTCCTCTGGCTCCCACATTATTTAACATCTATTTTGACCACGTAGTTCGTGAAGCCTTCAATAGCTGTACCGGGGGAATCTCCATATGGTACAGATATAATGGGAGGCTAATCGATGCCCGGGTGCGGTCAAGGGATGGCTCCCTATTGCTCAACCACGTTATGTACGCTGATGACTTGGTAATAGCTGCTCAGTCAGAGGAGGAGTTGGAGACGCTGCTGCTGAGACTGGAGCGTGCCACTAAGAGGTGGGGCCTTACCATCAGCCCCACCAAAACTAAGCACCTGCCTGGGTATTTTGTACCATCGGACACTCCACCCCCACAACTCCAAATCGGTGATGGGGCAGTTGTGGAGAGAGTGGAGAGTTTCCCATACCTGGGCAGTGTGCTTATGACTGGCTCCAGTTTAACAGCAGAGGTCTCACTCCGAATCAGTCGAGCGGCAATATCTTTTCATCGGTTGCGTAACGCTGTGTGGAAGCTACCTGGTCTGTCGCTCCGCACTAAGCTTCAGGTCTTCTCGGCCACGATCATTCCCTCCCTTCTCTACGCTTGCGAAACGTGGACCCCCCTAATGGAACATCTTCGCCGGTTAGAAACATTTAGGCTGGCCTGCCTACGATCCATCCTGGGTTTAACCAGACTGGATTGTGTGAGGAGCTCACAAATTCTTGAAAGATCTGGGCAGGGTCCCATCGGTGAGCTCCTCCGGCAGGCAAGGCTGCGATGGCTGGGTCATGTAGCCCGCATGCCCAGCCACCGCATGCCGAAACAGCTTTTGTTTGGCCGGATTGAGGGGGCTAAGCGGGCGCGGCACGGGCTAGAGAAGAGATGGAGTGATGTGGTACAGGAGGACGTGGAGCTGAGTGGACTTGCCGATGACTGGTACCAGCGGTGTCAAGATCGGCCTCTGTGGAGGAGGCTCGTGAAGGATGCTACTGGGCAGTTGGAGGCAGTCGCCCTCCAACAACAACGGAGGGCGGAGGAGCGACGCTCACAACAACGAGCGGAGCGCCGGGTGGCTAAAGGACAGCAGGTTGGCACA